AAACACACTGCACACAGACAGGGAAAGACTTGCATAGCCAAGAGAAGAGCTACCAAGGTTTCATAAAGATCAATACACTTTTGCATGGCAGTTTGATGCGTTCAATACCCAATTAAAGCATGATTATCTACTTACACTGATGCTTCATCCCAACATATTAATTTCCCATAACAACAGCATGCATAGACAGAAATTTCTCATGAAAAGAGAGATGATGGTCAAGAATTTTCCGTTTCCCGCATTCATTTTCTTTCTGCTATTTTGTCTCAGAACGGTCAGATGGAGGATAAGATACAACAAGGCCCCAGTTTGGGAGGCAAATCAAAGCTAAAAATAATATCACATAATAATTTAAACTATAAAAAGAACCCATAGACCCTAAGCAAAAGCTGGAGGGATAAAAGTAAATAAATAAATGAGAAAATGCCAAAAATGTTGTCAGAGAAGGAAATATAGATATAAAATGTTTAAATAGTACAAATGTGAAGAAACCAAGGATGGCTAAAACCTGTAGAAGAATGACGCAGTGCTGCGGAAGCCCAATGTTCCTGAAAGGCATTGAGAACCATTTATTCCAAACAAATTCATCATCAGGACTATGCACTGGCATACGACTTGGGAAAGGTCGAGTTATGTCCCTAGTTTCACAGAAGTAATGTTTCCCATCAATTTCAAGCTCAGTCAATTCTTGAATATTCTTAATTTCGGTTTTGCTCTGTAGTTGAGGATTCTGAAGTGAAATTTTAATCCACTGGCTCTCAGTAACAGTGAAAACACGCCCTCCACCGGGTAAATTTGGTATACTGGCAGCCAACCTTGTCGCTACCAGCAAAACAGAAAAGCTGCCAAGGGCTGCATAGCCTAGTATAGCTTGTGCATGGGTCATACTCTTACATAGCCATTTTGACCCACAGGTGATATAATCTAATGCTTCATTTTGGGATTTGAAAACATCATATCCATGCTTTGCAGTATAACGAAGAGCCCCAGTCGTTGGATCAATATAGATAACCTGAGTATCAGTTCTAGTAGACAAACTGATTATAATGTACACTTCACTTGAGTCCAATGTGACAACAACAATAGATGTGTCTCTTAGACAACCAGCTGCAATAAATGTCAAACATACATATCAGGGTACGAAATTATATATGCGAATACAATTAACAGTAAGAAACTTATACAGACTAAAATTTGGGACGGACAAACAAAGAAAAACAACCGTATCTTAGGCAAATGGAGAGAGTTTGGATCATCATATATGATACTTCCCAAAATACAAGAGAAAAAGAAACAGATGTTTGTCAAGTTTCGGACTAGCTTCACATTTTCACTATCTAACCTCAGCCACCTATTACAAGTCAGCTGACTATTAGGTGTCTCCAAAACTGAAATTTCATACTCAAATGGTCACTTCCACGGAAGACTGCTTAAAGCCCCAAACAATAACATGATTTTTTAACAGACAAAATTCAACTTCCAATCTCCACAAAGTAAGACGGCATAAAACATACTAAAACGGTTCCCATAGGCTCACCAGCTGATTCCATGCTCCAAAACTCCCCCAATCTTGAAGTTCTGAAAAGCAGTAAAGCTTAACGGAGGGACCAGTAGCCTGACCATGAAAAAATAGTAACTTTTAATGAACAATAGGACACATACATAGTCACGTCAATGCGCCAATAAACGATATTTTAGGCAGGCAAAGAAAACTAGCAGGAATTACCATCCAAGAAAAGCACAACTTTTAACAGTTTAATTATACTAATACCACAATGTGCGATATTTAAACCAATAACATGTGAACATGGCTTATCATACATGGAATTCTGAAAGTAGCAACAATTTCTTCATTTTTTCTCATTAATGGTTTATCATAAAATAGAAGAACACTCGAACCATACCAGACAGAAAGGGCAAGGATGTGAGAAAACTAAAACTACATTTAAATTAAAAAAATGTGTTGTCCTTGTTTAAGTGTTGGCCAATCCATCAATTTATGGCCAATCCATCAATTTATGGTTTCAGAAAACTCAAACCATAATGGTTTATTCATTTTTTCTTGAATGTTATGTGTTGGCCAATCCATCAATTTACGGACTTAGCGAAGGTAAGATTGTTTTGAAGGCTGATTTTTGTTTGTATGATTGGCACAGCAATGGGCATCGCCGGCTAGAAATTGACCTGATCATTTCCCGAGTCTGCTAAAGCTTCTCCTAGGACAGTGGTTACAGGGGTAATCTAATCTTATCTTTTGAATATTTATTTAATTGCATTGGAAAGGTTTTGTGTTATTTTTTCATGTTCAGCAATTAAATTGAATTTCCAGTTCGCTGTGCCAGTGTTTGCTTCTTCTTGTGTTAATTTTGAGATGCCCTATACTATGCACAAATGCTAAACGGAGGCTGTATTAGTTGTAGTTTTGGCAGAACTGAGCCAGTCTTAGTTTTGTGGAACATTAGCTGTGAAAGTTTACCTACTTGTTTATGATTTGTTTATGATTCGGTTGTATATAGGCACCCACACTGCAAGATGGATTGGCTCTAGTTCTGAGAATCGTGCTTTGTGGTTTACTGGCATTAAAAGAGAATGCTTTACGTGTGATATGAGGTTGCTAGCATCTACCAAAGAGTGTCATTACCTAATTACACATGCAATTGTGAAATCAGATTCCGATATTTAGTGCCAATGCAGAATGCTATTAGTGAAGTTGCCGATTGCATTCAAATCTTGCAAAATCCATATTGTAATATCTGATCTAAGATTTTTATGTGACAAAATGAGGTCCTTCTAACTAGCCAATAAACTTGACGGAGAGCACTCAATCAATTACCCAAATCTAACAATCTCCCAGTTCAGATTGTCATGTTCCTGGTCTCCCCTTGGAGTGTCTCACATGCGAATTACCAATACATAATTCTTAATGTCAACCAGAAGACTTATAACCCTACGAATTTACTAATACCCAACCAATAAGCTGCACTTATCTATATATGTTATCTATATATGTTGAAGAAAAAGAAGACTGATTATTACTAACGGATCGAAACCTTCCTATGTAAAGATTGCTAACTGATATTAATAAAAACAGAAATGAGTATAGATGGCGACTGTACCAGATTTAATAGACTTCGAAGCAGGATCAGTGGCTGCTCGTGAGCCGCCGGCGGCAGGCGGAAGCAGGGAATTAGATTGTGACCTGTGGTAGGATGAATCGGCGGTGCTGGCGTTCACAGCAGCGGCTAAATTGCCCGATCAAATCAAAATCAAAATCAGTATTGAATCAAAATCAGCATTGAATTACTGATCAGGGGCTGGGATTTTAAAACCGAGTTGCTTGATATAAAACAGCTTTTCCAGTTCAGTTTTTACAAATCAAAACCGGTGGCGGTTCTCAATTATGCATCCAAAACAAGAGTATGAACCGAAGAACCGGTTCTACACATTTATAACCATGTTTACTAGTTCGAGCATCGTTAAGTCATATAATATTATAATAAGTACCTTAGCTCGAATGTAATCATTCTGAACAGACCTCTAATCGACCTCTGAACGAACTTCACGAGCTACCAACTGAATCGACTTCCTAAATGATCAGTTTCAGGCCAACCTATTTGAGGTGGCTACATCATATAGGAACTAAAAGAAAAGTCCTATTATGTGAAATGGGATCTCATTTTCTGTCCTCATTATATTATATTTGCCTTAAAGAAAATAATAATTAACATTTGCCTTAAAAATAATAATAAAAAAAATAAAACAATAAAGGTTTGCCTTTGTATAATTGGACCGATTAAAATTGCGCGGCCTACAAGGTGCTGGTGCATTGTTTCTATACTAAGGATTGACTAATTTAAAAATATTTCAATTTTCCCAAGATTACAAGTAAAAAGGAGTTGGATAAATTTCCTCCAAGTCAACGTCAGAAACAATGCACCAGCACCTTGTAGGCCGCGCAATTTACATCTGCATGTGTAATTAGGTAATGACACTCTTTGGTAGATGCTAGCAACCTCATATCACACGTAAAGCATTCTCTTTTAATGCCAGTAAACCACAAAGCACGATTCTCAGAACTAGAGCCAATCCATCTTGCAGTGTGGGTGCCTATATACAACTGAATCATAAACAAATCATAAACAAGCAGGTAAACTTTCACAGCTAATGTTCCACAAAACTAAAACTGGCTCAGTTCTGCCAAAACTACAACTAATACAGCCTCCGTTTAGCATTTGTGCATAGTATAGGGCATCTCAAAATTAACACAAGAAGAAGCAAACACTGGCACAGCGAACTGGATATTCAATTTAATTGATGAACATGAAAAAATAACACAAAACCTTTCCAATGCAATTAAATAAATATTCAAAAGATAAGATTAGATTACCACTGTAACCACTGTCCTAGGAGAAGCTTTAGCAGGGAAATGAGATCAGGTCAATTTCTAGCCGGCGATGCCCATTGCTGTGCCAATCATACAAACAAAAATCAGCCTTCAAAACAATCTTACCTTCGCTAAGTCCATAAATTGATGGATTGGCCAACACATAACATTCAAGAAAAAATGAATAAACTCACACATGACTTATGCATACGAGCTGGCGCGAGGGACCTAATTGAGCTAGAGGGAAGATGCCAAACTAAAAAACAACAGCTGAAGAAAGACAAATAGACTAAAACTACATCAACAGAAACGAATTTCGAATAGGTAATAACATTAGGGTTTATGCAGAGAATTCAGATCCCAAATGACGACTCTCGGTTTTTCTCTGTCCATACCAATATCCCTATCTATCAAATTCGCTGGACTTCTCCTCGGTTTATCATTTTCTCAGAAATGTCTGGTTTTAGTCATTTAGTGTATATATAGAGGCATCAACACGGGGCCGGCAGGGTGGGGTGGCCCACATGCTGGCCCACCATCATGGCAGGCCAAGGAAATTTCAGCCAGCCCGTTCCCGCCTCATGGCAGACCCACCCAGTACTAAAAAAACTGCTGCAAACATTACAAATTCCAATCATCCTCCCGTGGTAAAAAATCATTTCTGAGACAAATATAATGCTAAGAAAATAAATGATAAAATGCCCAAACTACAACGAGTTTAACACAGATCTCAGTCAAATACTCAAAGTATCGGGCACAATTTAATTCAGAGCACAATGAACAAAACAACAATTTAAGCCCAATTATATCAACCCTAATTCGAGATCCATGGTACCTGATGTGCTCGGGAATGGGCTCGGGAAAGACCGGACTTGAGCTGGAAAGGACTGGGCTACCGAACTTGGTGCGCTGCTGTCGCGTGCGGTGGCCGATATAATTCGCTCTGCTGTGGTGATGCCTGAGGTGTTTTCGCTGCGCTCTGCTGTGGTGATGCCTGAGGTATCTTCGCTGCGCCTAGTGGTGGCTGACGCCGCTACGTGCGGTGAATCGGAGATTGAAGAGATTTTAGGGTTCCTTAATTTTTTGGCTTTCTTAATTTTTGGGGGCAATTATGCAGACGGGATAGGATACTGCTATGGGATGGGTTTATACT